CTAATAAACATACTCCAGGTTTAAATGTGAGAGAAATGCAAGTTAGTTTCCATCTGACATCTAAAGTATAGCTAAGATGAATTGGAAACTGAATGGATCAAATCAGAAGCCAATTGTAAAGCAGTCAGTGCAGATTATAAACCCATGGCCAACCCCAACGTGATGTGAAAGGAATTATAATATAGAACATTGTTTTTTAAAAACAAAGCAAAATTTTTCTCATCCTTTTATAAAAAAATGTAATCCATAGAAACAAAGGATTTATCGTGCTAGCCTTTTTTTCCACCACCACCTTCCCCCCACCACTTCATAAGCAGAAGAAGTAGCTAACAGTCATTTTTAGGTAAGCAAAGCTCGCATTGTCTTCAGTGAAGCCTGGTACCAACTTCAGAGCAAGTCTGCCAGTGGTGAAAATGAGGATGGATTTAAACAACAATGCAACTCAACAGGCATAAATGACAAAAAAAGGAGTATTTTCAGATTAATTTCTGTATTATTTGCTTCAAAATATCTATGTCATAGTATCAGTGTGGTGGTACCTTGATACTGTAGATTTTTATGGTGATAAAGAAAAAGAGATAAAAGATGAGTGTCTGGAATGGCTACTAATGGAAAAATTACTTTGTGAATTATATTATTTGAATGTGGAATCTGCACACTGAGCACAGCAGAAGAAAAACTTAGGAAGAAAGGAAGGAAGGAATTAAAGGAGTGGTGTTTATAGTATGTAGAATGGAGACACGAGAAATCAAATCTAAAATTTGGGTAGGAGAACAGATGTTCAGGTTCTTCTCCCTGATGTCCAATGCCAGGACAAGGGGCAATGGTCCCAAGCTGGAGCACAGGAGGCTCAAGCTGAACATGAGGACAAACTTTGTCAGTGTGAGGGTTATGGAGCATGGCCCAGGCTGCCCAGAGAGGTTGTGGAGTCTCCTTCTCTGCAGACACCCAAAGCCCTGGCCGTGTTCCTGTGTGACTGCTCTGGTGATCCTGCTCTGGCAGGGGTTGCACTGGGGGAGCTTTCCAGGTCCCTTCCAACTCCTCACATTCTGGGATTGTGTGAATCACACTAATATTTTGCAGGTGATATTCTATAGTCATGTCAGAGTGAATCAAATGTACATGTTTAAGAAAGCTAATGTAGGCAGGAGAGTGTCAGGCTAACGTCATCCTTTGACAGTGGTCAGTGATTCAAAAGCTACCAAGAGCTGAGAAGCATAAAGACCAAATGAAGGCCACTATTTTGGGTTAGAACATATTCCGGGTTACATCAGGTTACAACCTTATATCTGGAGAGGCTGTAAATCAGGAGCAGGTGTCAAAAGATGGCAGTTCAGCAACTCAGTGTTCTGATTGCACTTCTAGATAGCTGATATAGATTAGTACGAATTTCTAATAGCCATTATATGTCATGCTTTCATAACTTTAAATGTATAGTTATGTTGTGTACACAAATATCCCTACGCACCCACGTGCTTGTAGTGTTTTAGCCATTGAACTATAAATATTCTCTAATGCAATAAGATACTTCACAAAAGATCATTCACCCTATTTGCTAAGTAGAGCACACTGATCACTCAAAAGGCAGCTTCAGATGAAGCCATGGGTTGTTTCTGGGCTGTAAAGAATAGAAAAGAAAGGTCCTGAGGAAGAGTTAATTGTACAGTATATGACGTGTGGATAGTTGGGCTGGATCAGGACTTTAAAACAAATATTAATGTTAATATTCTAATTCTGCAGAGAAAGAGAGCTAGAGGACTCAGTAGGAGGCACCTGACTTTCTATGTCTATTCCAAACCAGTCCTGCCTGTATTCTCATCTCCGTGTTGCTGTGGATACTGTCTTTCTGAGGAGAGTAAATGCCATTTTTTGCCATTAGAAATTCTATGTCACTCTCAGAATCAGCAGTGAAACAGTAACTATGTATAGATAATAATTAAAAGACTTTCAAATTAATTGTAAACTATTATAAATATACATAATTTCACCTTCTGTGTTGTCATTCCTAAACAAGAACCTCAATAAATCCGGGCACGAAATACAGATCAGCATGCTGTTTGTCTCCCCAGCTTCACTGGTTTTTATAGCATTACTTCTTTCCATGGATATGCTACAGACCGAGTTTGATTCTCCAGTTAATAGCAATAAATTTTTTTGCTTTGGATTCTACAAGATTAGGGGTAAGCCCTTAAATATGGTCACACTCGATCCTCATGTGTTTAATGGAGTTCATTAAAATGCATTGCATTCTGCTATGCCAGTCTTGCCTTCCAAGTTATTAACATAGGCTACCATCTGTTCATATGTAGAGTCCAGGGCTGTAATCGCAATCTTGGCCTGATTCAGTCTAGTATTAATCTCCTGAAGCAGCATCTTTTGCGTTATAAAGTTGATTCCTTTCTGCATGTAATCAAGAAGCAATGATACAGTCCAACAATGTTTGCAAAACGATTGCTAATGTGATAAAAAAAAGATTAAATTAGCTCATCCAAGATCCTGTTTCTGCTTTTTCCCACCTTATATTCCCAAATATATCCAGCCACTCCCATCAGCTTAAATTTAGGAAATGAGTATGTCATAACTCCATTCTCTAACAGATGACCAGTACTGGAACATCCAGTTTACAAACTTTTTCCCTTATTCCTGCGGGCAGTTCAAAATGACTGTTCAGGCCTTGTCCTCTCGCTGTACAGCTGTAAGCCTCCTGTATCTGCTCAGGGGATGTATGGAGCTGCTGCTGCTGCTGCTGCTGCTGCTGCTGGGGAGATCTGCTGCTCTTCTGCAGTGCTGCCCACCTGCTTCGCAAGAGGAGCCAGCAAGGCCCTGGAAGCCAGGCCCTGGCAGTCGCTGCACCTCTCTGCCTGGGATTCTTGCTGGTTCCTTGCCCAGGAGCTAAGGAGGCTGCTGTAGTGACATGGAGAAGACAGAGGCAACAGCAGCCTCCATAGCAGTGGCCTGTTGCTAGAGAAGAGTACAGGGGCTCCATGTCCCAGTGAAGGCCAAGACAGCGTATTTGCGTGTGACAGGGTAGATGGCTGCTGTTGAGGGAAACAGCTCACTTTCTGGGACGAAAAGACATCCGAAAGCACAGTTCAAGTCTCCATGGCTGCTGAGATCAGGGCTGAACTGTGCCAAACTGACGTGACTTGCAAACAAAACTTTACTAAAAGCTGGTATTGAGTGCGTTGTTTTGTCCTAAATTTTCTTCCATTTTAAATTAACATCAGTGTTTAGCCTTTTCATAGTATTAAAAGTTTTATGCAAACCATAACAAGTCCACAGCAGTTCTAAATTTTTTTCTGATCTAAGGAGCTTGGAATTATTTTCATGCACAGATTTTGCATGGAGAAACCTTCACATGTTTGTTTGAGAACTGACTTCATTAGATTTGGCCCGTTCTTTTTTTCTTTGCAGGTTAATCATGAAGCAACAGTGATTTGTGTGGTAGATTATACGTTGCTGTTTGGCATTTAGTTTACAGAAGCATATCTGAGTTTATAGGGTGTTAATATTTTTGTACTGTCTGGTCCTCAAATTATTCTGTATTTATGGCACAAGCAAATGAGAACACAGAGAGAATTTCACCAGCAGTGTAAGCGATTTGTTACTGAATTCGTATGGTAAGAAATCTTTTCTTTTGCAAGTATGAAGATGCAAAGGTTGAAAGATGACGAGAGTAACGAGCTGAAAATAGACATGCAACTACAAAATTTTTAATTCTATGTCCTCAGAAAGGTCATTTTCAGATCTTTTATATCTCTAACTTTTGAATAGGTCAGATCAAATGTTGAAAGCTCTCCAGTCTGTTAGAAAGAGAACATTCTAATTGCTGTTATTATGATAATCTAATTCTGGTAGTGGCCAGAAGTCAAGACCAGAATCAGGCCAGAAATTAATTATCTGCTGTGCAAATACAGCAATAGACAGTCTCAATCCTGCAGAGCGAATAGAAGAACAAGTCATTACACCATTTTATGCATTTAACATAGGTTTGCTTTTGAAGTTTGCTGTTGTCCTCAATGCATAAGCAAATATCATCTTCCTGTTTCTCTGACAGTGTCCTCTTTTGTGACAGAATCCAATAGAGTGATTTGAAAGAGAAGAGGCAGGTCTGTGAGTTGATGCTGAGCACAGAGACAGCATTAAAAAAAAGGCTAATGCTGCCCAAAGAAAGGTCACGCCATTTGGTGGCAGATTTCAAGTCTATTTTCACTCCAGCTTCACAATTTACGAAGTTCCCTTTAAGGGGAAATATAGCCTTGGTTTAGAGGAAGACTACAGATCAGATCTGGGGATATGGGGCTGAAGTTATGGAAGGGAGAACAGGGCAGCATCCACCAGAATGTAGGGTTTCATCAGGCTATCAAAATATGAAACTGTTTTATTTTAGTTTGTCTCATTCCATGTTCACACATTTCAACAAATGTATTCCATCCTCGTTCTTCCAGAGACCTGAGGAATAAAGAGTCACACAAAGTCTCTTGGGGGATGTGGAGAGACTGTAAAGACAAAGACAAGGAGATTAAGGTTGGGGTTAATAAACTTTCCTTTGGCAGATGATCAGTAAGATTGAATGTGGCGTGATTGAAGGAAGAGAGGAGTTAGAAAGGTCCTTCAGTCAGCATAACAGACATTGGTGTCAATAGCAGCAGCTACAAACTGAATGTGCTGGAGGGCTGAGCTTTGTGAGTATGAGAATCCAGTTGAGTACCTATCACATGCAGCACAGAGCTCCCCAGGCTTGCCTAAAACACACTGCAGCCATACCAAATGGCTCTATTTTGTCGAAGCTAATTAGCCCAGCTAATTAAGACAGGTAAAGTGGACAGAACCCTTCCCAGGAGCTCAGTTAATGTTTCTTCACGGCATCGTACTGTGCTGTATCAATGTGTCATCTTACTTGGAGCTGCCTCAGAGGTCTCTAGTATGGCACGACCTTGCACTTGGAGGCCTGTCCACTGTATCATCTGGTCCTTCCCTAACCCGTCTTCTTTGATGTTACATACTGAACCATAGTTAGAACAAGAAGTACTACTGAGCATTTATACTGCAGCACAAATGTATAGAAATCTTAATAAGTTAAAGCTCCTTTATGTCTCACTGTAGGTATATTTATGGTGCCAGATGTTAGTAGAAAAAAATGTAGTGCGTCAGTGAGTGCCTGACTTCATTATTTAGTCTGAAAGTTGTCACTCAATAATAGCAGTGTAGGCTGCCCCATATATGTAATAATGAAAGCTCTGGCCTCATTTAATCTTCTTTTAATAACTGAAAATTAATCTTGTTCTGAAACATTGTTATTAACATTTAACCTAGGCAGTCACTGATTGTAAAACATTTGTGTGTAAACGTTTCTAGTGTTGCCTAACTGTGAGCAAGACAGTTTTGCTAGTCATCATATACTAATACTACCGTGTTAGCTAGGTTATTACACTGTAAATGATATCTTAAATGAACCCTACATTGATTAGTAATTGGAAGTTATTTATAGCTTACATGGCCCTGTCCTTTCCACCAACCAATAAGTTGAAAATGCAAGGGAGACATGTTCTGTTCAGCTGAAGGGGTTGTCTGTCACCTATAGGGGCAGGAGAAGAGCTCTGTCTTATACCAAGGGGCAGTCAAGACTTCCTCTGCAGTTTATTAGGTATCTCAGCCCAGAAGAATAATTTGCCCCTTCTTTCTTCTTGTCCTTGATTACTGTTCTTCACCAGTAAGGTGATGCATCTTCATTGCAACTCACATTTTTTACAAAAACTAGTGTCATGTCTTTTGTCTGAAATGATTTGATGACTGGGAATAAAAATATAAGAATTAAAAAAAAAATCAAGCACAATTGTGACTTTGTCCCCACAGAAAGTCACTTAAGAGATCTCATTTTTAAGTGCAGTTCTGCACCTGCTGATTGGAGAAAAGGTTCACACTTCTCCTTCTGCAGGACATTCCCAAATGCAGTCGTCTCCAGCAGCTAGAGCTTGAATTTCCCTGAATTTCCATGTCCTATTTCTTGAGGAGTTAACTCACCTTATTTTCAGAGAGGAGCTGTATATGCTCACACAGTGAGAGTGGAACCTAGCTGCTGCATCTCTTCAAAGTTCATTTTGAAGTTCAGTTGTGAGCTTTGTTTGAGTTTACCTTTTTCTTCATTTGTGCCTTGATTAAATATGTTACATTCAATTAGAATCTTCCAGTTCATTTCAGCAGTACAGGGATTGATTATAGAGCACTATAAACATAACACCTACGTTAGAAGAGGCAATGGCATAGCAACCAACTCCTGTACTCTAGGGAAATTTCGTTGGGATCAAGTACCCAAAACATAGGTGCATCACACTGGTGTAACATTTCCTCAGTGATTCAGAGGGAGGAACACTTGCACTCTTCGCTGGGTTAAAAACTGGTTGGATGATCGGGCCCAGAGAGTGGTGGTGAATGGTGCTGCATCCAGTTGGTGTCCAGTGACCAGTGGTGTCCTCCAGGGATCAATACTGGGCCCACTTCTATTCAATATCTTTAATGATGACCTGGATGAGGGGATTGAGTCCACCCTTAGTAAATTTACAGGTGATACTGAACTGGGGGGAGTGTCAATCTGCCAGAGGTTAGGAAGATGCTGCAGAGGGACCTGGACAGGCTGGGTCAACAGGCAAAGGCCAATGGTATGAAGTGTAACAAGACCAAGTGCAGGGTCCTACACTTTGGCCACAATAACAATAGTTGAACTGCAGCTCTTTTTTTGTGTGCTGCCTTAAGAAAATCTTCTCAGCTTCCTTCAGCGGTTACTGGGAAAATGAGCAAAAAATCAAACATGAGTCCAAAGGGCTGCTGTTTGGTCACAGGCCTGCAAGGAAAGCACCTTGGGCTGTAGTCCTTCCTACAATGCTTCTCCATACATTTTTCTGTAAAAGAACAATTGTCTGCAATTAGATTATTTGCTAGATACAGTGTCACCGGGTCAGTGGCGATTTCATCACACACCAAACACATTTGCATATGTTAATGCATTCCAAATAATGGTCTTTTCCTCACTGCAGTGAAGAGAGTTGAAAAGTCTCACTTGTGGTCTGGTCTTGGTTTTGTTTTGTTTTTCCTGACAGCACTCACAACCTGAAGACTGAAACTGTGGGTACTGCTACCTCTCAAAAACTCAGACCAATTGTGTTTTAAAATGCAAGTGCTGTATTCTGGCGTCACTACTGCGCTGAGGCATCAGTATGTTATTTACTGTTAGAACGCTATTAAATGCTTTTATTTCAACTCATTCTATTACAGAACACGAAAAGCAGCGGTTATGCAAAAGCACAGATTACATGAATTTGCACTTCAAAGTGAAATGGTTTTATAATGAATATGTGCGAGAACTCTCTGCTCTCAAGGATGCTGCGCCTGAATACTCCCTGTAAGTAGCGTGCAGGGAAGTATCCCATGAGTGTGGGCTTGGTGCAAGGTTTATTATCATCAAATATTTATGCCCAAGTTTGTGCAGGATCTCTAAGTGTGCGGCACTCACAACTCTCTACTTTTTGCACTTCCTCCTCTTTAATTCTTCATTTGAGCAAATTAAATAGTCCAGGTACTAAAAGTTCTATTAGCTATTTCATAGAACTCTTTATCCAGCTATTGTAACTGTAGCTCTTCATAGATGACAGAATAGTTTGGTCAGAAAACACCTGAGAAACGTATGAAATGTGGAAATAGCAGCAGTATTCATTACAGGCCCCTGCCTTTGTTTCATACCCAAATTAGACTAAAGATACAAATAAAGGTACAAGGCTAATGGGATATACTCCTGAATTTATTCTTACTGCATTGTGTTAATATTCAGCTGGTGTTTTCATTTTCACCTTTTCTCCTGCAATTGATACGCTCAGTCCTGTCCTTTTATATGAGCTATCCTTAATCTCATATCTTAATCTTCTGCAAGTCTGCTGATTTGCCAAGATGTTTTGGGGCTTGTTATTATTTAGGTGTTTTTTTTAATAAAGAAAAATAAAACTTGGAGTTTTCTCCAAGTTATTTCACATGCAAATAATAAATAAATGTTAAGAAGCAGTATTGATAAAAGACACATTCTAAAAGAAAAAAAAATTGGGCAAAATATAATCCCCTACAAGATGTGGACACATTTCTCTGATGGCTGCTGCTAATTTTGCATCGCTTGGGTAGACCAGTTAGAGTACTGTGAAACTGAAGCCTGAAATGCCTTGTGGTAGCCACAGTGTCCTTGGTGACAAACATTTCTCTAGGATGAAAAACTTTTTAGCAACAAGAACGAATGGGAAGACACAAAATGCCAAAGTGCTGGGTGAGATGGCATCTCTTCTCTCCAGATCTTTCTCAACTGTACTTACTTTACAAAACTGTTATTAATTTTCAGGTGGTTTGAACCTTTTGTCATTCAGTGGCTGGATGAAAATGAGGATGTCTCAATGGAATTTCTTCATGGAGCACTAGAAAGAGACAAAAAAGATGGGGTGGGTATTTGTTAAAGAAAATAATAAAGAAAGAATTAAGACCGTTATTTAGTATTGCAAAGTCAGAAGTACATTTGGTCTCACAGCATCGTTGTTAGACCTCACAAGATATGCAGTTAGTAATGGTTCTTGAAGGTTAAACCTATGGACAGATTCCTACTCTATTTCCATGTGCCTAAATCCCCACAGACTTCAGTCTATGCTTTCACTAAACTCTAATGTGACGCTGATGTCGTGAAAGAGAGGTTTTATTTTATTTTTAAAAGGTTTGAAAGTAATAGAAATGTGAAAAGCCACGTACCTCAGTGAGACATTTTTAAAAATGTATTTATTTATTATTTGTTATGATTCTAGAAAGAATTTCAAATGTAAGAAAATCAGTTAATACAGTTTTGATCTCTGAACGAGTATTAACTCATTTGAATGTTTCTCTCTAGTTTCAGCAAACATCAGATCATGCCCTCTTCTCTTGTTCTGTCGTTGATGTCTTCACACAGCTCAATCAAAGCTTTGAGATTATTAGGAAACTGGAGTGTCCTAATCCAGAAGCACTATCTCATTTAATGAGAAGATTTGCAAAGGTAAATTAAAATCAATGCATCTCAACTACGCCTCAGAGAGAGTGACATTGTGTTGCCATGTACTTAAAAGCTAATTCCAGTGTTGTTTAGAATCAATCTCTTCTATCTCTGACTGGGATCCTTAGAAAGACAAGCTGTCTGCAGCTCCAGACTGGTTTTCATCTAATTCATCAAAATCATTTACGACTTAGAGAAGTTCTGTCCCCTCTCTGAGATTTCATATTTATATATGTTATAAAATCAATTCTTATTCTTGCTAAGCATCGACTACAGTTCTGTTAATGAAGCAATTCAGTGAAATGCAACTATCTAATTAGTCAGTGGAAGGGGGTGGGAAATTCAGAGTATGGCAATAAAGCATTGCTGGTTGAAGGTGGTAGTTATTATTCATCTGTTGTTTGATAAACTCAGCTTTGCTAGGGCAGCTTTCTATTTGGATTGCAACATTTCCTCACAAGCCTTAGATTTCCATTATAGTCATGATGACTTTATAAAAAGTGCATTTACATTTATTCCTGGTTTTCTGTTGCAATAGTTTTCCATTTGCAAACAAAGTTCCCATGTACATTATGATTGCAAGGTAAACTTATACTGCCAGGCTTTGAACAGTGCTCCCTTGGTCTTATGCTTCCATTATATTTTTAATCTATGCATTGTCACCCTAGAGGATTTATTGAGCTTGCTACTGTTCCATTAAGAATGTAGCACATTGCAACGGCATCTTGGCCTATATTAAAAACAGTGTGACCAGCAGGGCCAGGGAGGTGATCATCCCCCTGTACTCGGCACTGGTGAGGCCGCACCTCGAGTGCTGTGTTCAGTTCTGGGCCCTTCACTATAAGAAGGATGTTGAGATTCTGGAGCGTGTTCAGAGAAGAGCCACAAGGATGGGGAGGGCTCTGGAGAACAAGCCTGATGAGGAGCGGCTGAGGGAACTGGGCTTGTTTAGCCTGGAGAAGAGAAGGCTGAGGGGAGACCTCATCACCACCTACAACTGCCTCAAGGGAGGTTGTGGAGAGGTGGGTGCTGGTCTCTTCTCCCAGGTGATGGGGGATAGAACAAGGGGAAACGGCACCAAGCTGTGCCAAGGGAGGTTCAGGTTAGAGATAAGGAGGAAGTTCTTTACTGAGAGGGTCGTCAGAAGCTGGCACAGGCTGCCCAGGGAGGTGGTGGAGTCACCATCCCTGGATGTGTTTAAGGAGCGGGTAGATGAGGTACTTAAGGATATGGTTTAGTGGGTAGACAGGAACGGTTGGACGTGATGATCTCAGAGGGCTTTTCCAACCGAGCCATTCTGTGTGTGATTCTGTGTGTGTGTGAGTAGAGCTCTCAGTGCTTTACAAAAACAGTATGGCTAAAATTAAAGTATCTCTGCTATTGAAGATCACATTCCCTTAAGAACAACCCAGCACCTGTGGTGCAGGGATTTGAAAATATGCTCACAAGATTGTTTACTTTATATCTAAAAAATACAATACACTAAATGTGTAAGCACCTTTAAAATCTGTAATTTATACAAACCTCCTTTTTGTGGTTTTTAATCATTTTTGGTTTACATTATGACATTTACCATTTAAAAGATTCTTCTCCTCTCCTAGACTATCAACAAAGTGCTTCTTCAGTATGCTGTAATTATTTCAAATTACTTCGGCTCGTATTGCGATAAAGAAAACGTGGTGAGTAAAAATTGTGTTTTCTGTCTCAGAAATTACCTTTAAATGTCTCACTGTACTTTATGAAAATGTCATCACTTTTTATGTATGAGAAAAAGTATGAACGAAGGAAGGGATTTTTGTTTTGCTTTATTTTTTTAATAAGGTCAGCATGATTTCGTAGCTGCTTACTTCGCTGTGTAAAAGCTGGAATAGGTGGGATTAGTGAAAGAATCCTAGTGAAAAATTTCCATATTTAAGTAGAAACAAAAATTACAAGCAGACAGAAACACTCCCTGCTTAAAAGCCTCAGGTAATGGTGAATATGATGAATATAACTTCATCTCTTTTTCCAAACAGAATAAAATACTTTTGTTTGCATTGGCTTGCTTCTCTTTATCAATTTATTCATTCGTTTATAAGATCACTGTGCCCTGTGCAGGGAGTGTGCGCAGAGTTTTATGCTCCTACCACTCACTCTTTGTGCTTTATCCATGCTGCAGTGAGGAGAAAATCATGTGCTATTTTGTTTCCTCACTGCTTACAAGGGACTCTCTAATGAAGGACCAGATTGCCACGGACTCAGAAATAAATGGGACATGGATACTAAAGATGTGGTTAAGCAAATCAAAACATTATCAATAGCTTAACGTGACCAAGGAAAATTGTTCTTGTAAACTGATTTTTCCGTATCGTTGATATTCAGTCAAAGCTGGCACTCCCAAGGCAGGCAACATTTAGCACTGCATCTGCTATATTACACAGCTCGTACACACATCTCAGCTCTATTTGTCACACCCTTGTGCATGGCTTGAGGACACGCTCATTCTTGCCAGTGCTCTCCACAGTGCGAGACAGTGCCATAATCTAGAGGTCACCAACGTATACAGAATAATGGAATTCAGAAAGACATCTATTGCAGCTAGATATAAATTATTGATGGTTCTCATGAGCAACGTTACAAAAGACTAAGCTTATTAATTTTTCAGGCCACAAATATATTAGCTAGGAGAGGCTTACTGCATTCTGCTCCTTTTACACAATTTTGTCTGAAATAGAGTTAATAAATAAAAATACCAAACTCAAAACTTTATTATTAAGTAGAAGTTTTCTATTCAAGTTTTTACAGGGGAGTAACTTTTATTTATATAGGTGTGCCATGTCTCAGATTTATCTTCCCACTTCAGATATTTTCAACCTTGAAGCCCTTTGCAGTAAACACATTGAAAAGACTCACTTCAGATAGCCACACATCTTTCTTCTCATGGCACTACATCTTTTCAGCATCTGAGAAAAAGTAAAAGCACTGAGCCAAGTTTGACAATCATTGTGCATGGAGAATCAGTCTCATAGCTGCAGAAACACGTCAGGAAGAGGAGAGGAGAGAAACAAGAGGAGAGGAGAGGAAGATTTCAGTTGGAAAGGACCTACAGCTGTCATCCAGTCCAACTGCCTGACCAATTCAGGACTGACCAAAAGTTAAAGCATGTTGTTAAGTCCAAATGCCTCTTAAACCCTGACAGGTTTGGGGCACCAACCACATCTCCAGCAAGTCTGTTCCACGGTTTGACCACCCTCTCAGTAAATAAATGTTTCCTAATGTCAAACCAGAATCTTCTCTGATGCAGCTTTGAACCATTCCCATGCTTCCTGTCACTGGATACCGGTTGATAGGATAGACCAGCACACTACATTGCCAGGTTTTTTTCCCCCATAATCTAGCAGAGTGTAAAGCTTCATGCATTTTTAACTTTACAAATACGTCTTCTACATATTCCTTATTTTTCCCCTCCAGGGCAAATACAAAGTTGAAAAGAACACAACACACTCTATCCCCAGTATGGACCAGTAAAAGCATTACACATCTTCTACTTTAATGTTAATCAGTCCAAACCAAGTGTCATCTAAAATAATCTGTCTCTGTATTTGACCCAATATAAGCCATAACTATTCTCAAAATTTAATGTAAAAAAGAAACTTTGCAGCTCTGTTTTTCCATTTCTTTCAATTTAATGCTAATATTAAATAAAGCTTACTGCTTTCTAGAAGAAATTAGTTTTAATACATAGTACTAAGTCACTGTGTAGCCTTCTGGCCTGCCCAATGGGATTTGTTAATTGTTGGAGCGACTGATTTCTGAAGTCACCCTGGTATGCCAATCTACAGCTTTAGATGGAATTCATCTCGTTATGATATAAAGTATTAGAGCAAATGGCTTTAGGGTACATAACTTATTTTTACCAGAAGCTACCTTTCTGAAAGACATAATGTTAGCTTAATAAAAGACCATTTGATCTGGTGATCTCAGGTATATTAAAAGCCCATCTCCCGCATTAGAGTTGACAGAAGAGATTAAAACAAATAATGTTTATGATAAAAGTTATGTTTTGGCATTCTTTTACAAGTCAATACTTCTACTATTTTTATTAAACACTATAAAATGTGCACATAAACGGTAAAAATAAAAGCACATCAAAGGCACTTTTCGTAAGGACATGTATGTAACGTAAAAACCATTCTCTTATCTTCCACCTCCTGTCAGAGTTTACAAACAAACCTGGTTTATGAATTGTACTTGCCACTCACTTTTACGTGTTGTTGCATCTGCCTGGCTGATTCCTGTAAACTGCTGCAAAGAGTGTTCTGAGGACAAGATGATAATGAAATAAGAAGATGAGAATGTTTTTAAGCTCTGGTTCTGTTCTTTACTGACAGCAATAGACTTTTTTTCCATTTAGCCAAGGTAGGCTTAGGCTCTGAAAGCACCACCTCAGCTAGCCTCAAAGGAGACTGAAAACTGCCTCAGTAGGAAGTATTTATCTTACAGCTTCAGTACATTGCCAAAGGCATTCGCACTTGTTTTGAACAAGGGAACCAAGACGTTATGTTAAGCTACTTATTTCCCCATCAGAAATTATAATCATTGATTTGTGATACTGCAGATAAATTCCAGAATAATAAATATGTCAGAAGAGAGGAGATAGCACGAGAGAGAAGGACACAACGTCAGTGATCATAAATTAGACAAATAGAAGAAGTGGGGTTTGTGGATTTTTCAAGAATCAGGAAGGGAGGTGATATCTGAACCATTATACAAAGCCGGCTGCCTTATGCAGGAGGGCAAATAACGTGCTTTAGATCAAATTTCTTTTATTTTCCCCCCGTTCAGTTAAGAAGGCTTCTGACACCAAATTCCTTTCAAAGTAATGTAGAACTAATTAAAGCTAAATTATGTTATTGATCTCTTGAAAACCAAAATCTAATCCCTCCATGCTTCAGCACTACATTAGATCGTGTTATTAACTAGCAAAGTACAAATGAGCATCAATCACTGTAATCGTTCCATCACCTTCTTGTTGTATGACAAAAGTACAAGTGTTTTATTGAATGCATTACTTTGGTGTCTAAGTGAATCCCATCATGCACTAAAACTCACTGACCTTGGCCGAGCAGAACTCTTTTAGCAAGTATTGTCTTATTGCTTTCCCCACACCATCCCAAACTAGCATCTAACGTCACCTGAGAGCACAGAATTCTAGTAATAGATCCTTTCTTCCCTAATGTTGTAGTAATTACATTAATTTTCTCCATGTTCTACTTTTTACCTTATATTTATCCAGTGATTGCTGTCTTTTGCACCATGGCTCTCTATTCTGCCTTAAAGACATGAGCTTAATCAGCAACGCTTTAGACTAAAATAATATGTTTACAGAATTCTAATGCCTAATTCATTCACCAACCTTTCAAGCAATGCAAAATGTACACTTCTGAAATATTATTCTGTTATTAACAGAACTGCCAATTGATTTATTCAAATACTTAAGCATCAGCCATTATTTGGGTTACAGTGCTGTCACAGTTTTCCGCAAAGACTGGCACTGCCATTCCTCCAGTCTGTTCTCACTCCCAAAGTACTTTGATCATTATTGTGTCTACTCTCAAAGAGACAATAATGTAATACTGGCATCAGTTCACCAGTTGTAACTGTATTAAGTGTGACTAACATGTGGTTCAGGATCTGAAAAGTGCCCAGGTGGTTGGGAGAAGGCATTGGGTTTCCTGTGGGGCAACGCTGTCCTGAGGGCATAATGGGCAGTCACTGGCCGAGTGGGTTTGCTGACTGGGCAAGGAGGAGCGTGAATTATAGGAGTGGAGGCAGCAGTGGTCAGGAGCCTGAGATCCTCCTCTAAAAACCACGACTGCACGAATGCAGGGCTGCTGAAGAGCTAGTCTCCAGCCCAGAGGCTGTGAATGCACATATTCATGCATAAAGGGAACATAAGACGCACATTCTCACATTTGGTGTTCTCTTTGTAGCCCTGTATCTTGATGAACAACATTCAACAGTTGAGGGTCCAGCTTGAGAAAATGTTTGAGTCCATGGGAGGAAAGGAGGTGAGTCGTATTTGTTTCCTGGTTCATTCACAGCTCCTTAGAGATCATTAGCATCATGTTTTCAACCCAGTCACAGCCTTCACTTCTGCCTCAAAACAAAAATCAAATCGTTTAGAAACAAAAGCCTACAGGAACTATTTAATGTGCTGACAGTGCTAGAAAGATCTATTCTTTCTAGAAAGATTCATGCTAATGATCTGTAAAGTTCAACCAACACTGGGTGTTTTGTGTTGTATTCTGTAGTGCCAGCTTTATTTTAATGTTCGTATTGGACTATACTTTGCTTTTTTATGTATTGGTATGTTTTGCTTGTATCTGAAAATTTTGTAGAATATGTGCTTTGTGCTTTGTCTGTAATGTGTCATGTCTTTGTCTAATGCCTTTGACTTGCAATCCACTGAGCAGAAGAAAGAAGGAGAGAGATTCTCTTATGAGGTTTGTGATAGTAAGCATCTTTTATTATTCCTGATCATATTTTCTAAGGCTAAGAGCAGTCATATTTCCTACTAATTTCCATTGATGCATTTGTGTAATTCCCTATGAACTAAAATCAAAAAGAGCTATGCTTGGGCGTTCAGTTGACACTCTAAATTGAAAAGTTTTACTAGGCAGACAGTGCAAAGTCTTTCAGAATTAAAAAAAAAATGTATAAAACATTTTTAAGTGCACTTTTCAGTATCTGAGGGCCTGCTTGTATTCAAGATTTGGCACCATTTCACCAAAAGCTGCTCCTCAACAATGCAGAACATGCTCAGCTTTATCTTCTTTCATATTTCAGAAGACTTCAAAGTGCCTGAAGTCCTGTCAACAGTAAAAGGACAGAAACGTGTGCTTCCATACTTTGCTGATCGTAGTCTTTGACTGTTTTGAAAGCTAATGAAGAAATTAACAGCTTTTCAAGCTATAGAATCCTGTCTTCTGGTTAAAAAGCAATTTTTAAATCATAAATATCCCTATTATCAGTAGCTGGCTTTTAAAAAGAAGTTACACATACATCAGCTTTTTCTTATTGAGACTCTGGTTTGACAGCTTCAGAGAATTTAGATCTAATGTGACCACACTGTAGGGAGAATTGGAAAATACCTTATTTCGTGTTTTCCCACCCAACAGTGGGACACTGCAGAGGTAAGATAGCTCCCTGCACCGTGCCATGAACAGCACCTTCCAAATGAACCTACAGGTTAACTCCCATGGTGAGGAGGTTTTGTTGAGCTGGTTACAACCTCCTGAGGCTGCCATGGCATAAATTCTTCCTGCTCCAGAGAACACGAGATACACTTCTGCAGCCTTGTCATCATCGAACATTTCATCTCGAACTTTAAAAACACATATTTATCATCCAGACGTGGCTATATTTCTGTGTTACTATTAATCCCCTTTCACTCTCCAAATATTACAAATAATCTTGTCTTCCATGCTTTTATGTTCTGTGCAAGGTATTTTGTATTAAGGTCTTGGATCCAATCCTAAGTCTTGAATGTCATGAACCATAAAACCAGCTAAGTGTCCATAAATCCTGATGAAGACAAGGGCAGAGGAAAGCAGAGCAGCACTTTATTGCTATATTGATAAAATTATTTTCAAATCAAAATATTTTCTTGAAGCTCCAAAATGTTCCATTTTCTTCAAGAAAATATTAGTTTTTTCTTCTGCTCCCAATACGCTGTATAATAAAAAATATAGTAAAAAAACTAATTAGGGTTTTTCATAACAGTTTTACTTCAAAACCTCTCTTCACTTCTCATCCTTTTTGCTTTCCCTTTTGATGTTAATGATGGTGAATTATTAAGGCTGTTACAGTATCAAAACATTTGTTTTGTTTCTTTCTCATTAGGTGAATTCCTTTAAGAAAAGTATATTCATGTTCATTTTTTTGTTATCCGTGTCAACTCTTTCTCATTAGGTGAATTCCTTTAAGAAAAATATATTCATGTTCATTTTTCTGTTATCCGTGTCAATGTGCCCCTAAAATGTTTGTCCTCAAACTGAAAAACTTACTTATTCCTCTGGACATTCCAAGAGCATAAACGCTAACGACCAATTTGCCTTATTGAACTTGTACTTATAAGAAACAAAGCCAGCAATAAAATCTGTAAGCAGTTTCTTTGCACGGAAAAAAAACCAGTTTAGGATTTTGCTTGTGGAGAACAGAGTCAGATAATTTTCAGTGGAATAATGAAACCTATTCCAGTTGAAGTAAAACTAATTCTAAGAAAAATTAAATGCTGTTAATCTCCTCAGTGTCATGCTGTGAGCGGTACCTCTTTCAAACTATGCAGTCAAAACACCCTAATCAAGCAGCAAGTCCCTATGTTGAGAGTAAGCCTGTTGAATATTACAGGTCAGGGAGCCCAATGGAGAAAGAAAAAAAGAACCAAAAAAACCCAGGCTCTCAGCTCTCCTGCAATTAAAATAAAGTAGTCTGAACTATATGAGTTTCTTTATTAGCTCTCCTCTGCTGCTGTAGCCAAGCAGGAAGGGTACTTTAAAAATTATGTAAATGAAATCAGTCTGCCATAATAAAGTAAGAGTAGTAAAGTCGGATCCAAGCTACTTGCCTTTTTTTATTTGAAAATCAAGTGAAAAGTCATGGGAACAGAATATCATAACACAGAATTTTGGTTTAGCTCCTGTTTGTTCTATCCAAAAGGAGTGCATACATTTGCACTAAGTCATTTTTTCATGTCTGACAAGTTGGAAGCTGATAAAAGGAAAAGAAAAAAACCTTAATGCTTGTGTTGCCTTTCACCAGATGGCAGAACATGGCAGAAATGAGTTACAGCAATTAGGATCAAAAAGAAAAAGGTGGAAAGCAAAAGCAGGTTGTTTATGTACCACAGTATAATATTGACTGTAGGTAGATCAGGCTTCCACTCCAGTAAGTTCAGTTCCAACTCTACATGTAATGCTTAGGAATTCCTGTAGGAATCTATATGTGGTCCTAAAGATTTGATGGGATGACAGAGGCCCAGACTTAAGCAGAATACTTCTGAAGTGTCCATCTTTAAATCTGTAAAGTCAGGTCTGCTTATAGAGTATTTAGAATGGTGGCAGTCAAACATCTTAAGATGGGATTCACCCAACCTCCATCGTCACTTGTGGAGGTGGAGGAAGAATGATGGATATCAGAGACAGAAAAAGAACTGCTAAAGTAACAGATCTGACCAATGCCTGTATCCTTCCTAGATGTCCATAGAATATGTAAAGCTATTTTCTGAATGGAAGCAGTCAGGTGGTCTCATTAGGAAACTAGAAGCAATTAGACCTGTGAAACTGCAGATAAATGGAATTCAGATCAGAGAGGTTTCCTTTCACTCATGCAAAAGTAATTTGCATCTCTGTAGTTTCCTATAGAAACACTTCCAAATTTGCAATTAACAGGATTATGCCTGCGCTAGTACTTACAGCATGGAACAGCTCAAACACGTTATGTCAAAAGCAGCCAAATTCATCAGATCCTTAGCTCTTTCCCAAGGCTTGTATGTATAGAAAATGACACAGTTTTAGACAGGCAGCACTTGAAACAACGATGTTCAAACATTTCTGGTATCTTAATTTTTCAGCTGTTCACAAAAGTACTCTCTGCTTTTGTTTAGCATTCAGAAAAAGTCAAACTTCTAATTATCTGTTTAATAATGCATAATTAACAGATCTCATGAAGTGTGCCAACAAATTCCTGAGTATGTTCTGTTGGGGGTAAAAATTAACTCCATTATTTAAGAAGATGGTAAAAAAACCAAAAATATTTCTGATCCTAAGAAAGCCAAGCAAATTAAAAATTGGCAATAAAGCATGATTTAGACATTAACAGGTTAACAACATGTCCACTATTGAAATAAGTCTGGTCTTTAAAACAAAAAAAATCACATTTTGACACCTGAACAACCTACCTATATATTTTAAGACTAGCCCATACATGCTGTGAACTGTAAATGGAACCCAAGAAGCTAAAGCATATATGGTCTTTTCTCTCTTTTGATTCTTAAATTAGATATGGCACATTCATGACACTCATTTGACCCTGAACAATAGTCTGCTCAGGGCTTTTTGCCTTTTACTTTCCAAAATAATTGTTCAGGCATGTTTGGTTTTTTCGCGTTTTATTTTTCCTCCTTCATCAAACCCTATGGAGAAGATGAGACTCAAGGAGAAAAGGAAAAGTCCCTGGTACTGTAAATACTTCATTTCCTTATCTGTATAGCCCTATATGAGACATTCTCAGACATTTTCATTCTCACATTTTTCATATTAAAGAATTGCTGGATTAATTTATGCATGAAAGATAAGATTCACAGAAGATAATCCACAATAGTTAGTGTGTGTGAGGTACCAAAAGCTGACTTAATCCTAGCTCCACTGCACAAGGCAATCCGAAAACCATCTTTAACTTGTTGTGAAGCCCCCTCAGAATTTCATGGTGTAGAACCATCGTAACGGTTACCATCTCAGCTCCACCATACCAGAAAAAAGAGCAGACCCTGGCTGTGGTATATTTGGATGATGCCAGTCAAGGGCTGATGCCTGAGGACCCTCTGATTTGCCCTGGGAGCTCACAAGCACACAGAGGGCACATGATAAAACAAAGGAAAAGTGCACATTTCAGTCCTAGTGAGACACTCAAATTACTGTGTTTTCCAGTAGCTAAACAAAAATAAAAATAGCATTTAAAAGTCTCGCTAACGTATTCTTAGTCATCTCATCATCAGGTGTCCAGCACCTGGATGGTCAGCCCGCATACCTCTTTATATTCACTCCTCCCTATGACGCTGCATCAATAATCCTGAGCATGTGTCCACACCAGGCTGGATGTCCTGCCAGTGCCTCCAGCTGTGCACACACAAACTTGTTCATGCAATTTGTGAGCACAAAGCCCTCTCTCTTCTAGCATTTGCATGCATCTTTCTATAATATGTGTTATGTTCACAATCTGATGATAGCATTTAATCCAATTTTGGCCAAACTAAGTCCAGTTCCAGGTGGATTTAGCAAATATATTGCGTTTTCTGGTTATCACAACAACCTCTGATAGAAAGTAACTCCATGGGCCCTTGTAGTCCCAGTAACAAGATGATTCTCTAGCTTGTGCATGATCTGGTAAGAAATTTTGAGTCTTCTGCTTGCCTAGTATTTTTGTGCTGTCTCTGATGTGTATCATGTTCAGTACGAATGATTGTGTGCTCAGTATTGGCTAAATGTTAATGTTCTAGTGGTCCTAAATTTGTGTTCTGTATGTATCCCACCCAAGGAGGCAGTATAATTCCCCAGTGAAATACATTTCCTGTAAAAATCTTTGTTAATAGGCTCTATCTTTGTTAACTAATATAGACATTTCAGTAAAATTAGGGGGGTTTATCCCTGCTTTTCATATGAAGGAAAACAATAACTTGTGTATGAACTGACAGAGTGTATCTGCCAGGGAAATAACTAAGACATGGAGAAGCAACAGAACTTCTCTCAGTGCAAAGTAACTAAAAATTAAATCAGTAAGTAGTCACAGTGTTAAAAGATGAGTTTTTCAGATTAGAAAAGCGCTACACATCACTGAATATCTTCTAAGGGATTCATGGCAATTCCCTTTGTCACCTAGATCAGATTTTTGTCAAAAACCGTAATGAAAGTATTGGATTTTCTATGTTTTTAAACCCTGCACAACCTCTAAGGAGAGAAAGCACGGTCTAAACTTAGAATACAGCAGATCTTTGAGGGTGTTTCAGAGGTTGTTTTTAATTTACTTTGCCTTAGAATTCCTGTGTAGTCCCATGTAAGTTATCCAAAGTGCTGTGACACGGCTTCCCCTCATCTCTGAAGTGTGATTAAGAGAGCTGACCTGCTGCACTGTAGTGCTCTGAGGCATCAGGTGAAGAAGCAGCACTGAGCACTACTTGTGCAGGTGAAAGATATAAAAACGCAAATAGAGACAGGCCTGGTTACGTATTCTAAATGTGCAGTTCCTTTGAAATTGTCAGGGCTGTATCTGACCTTACTGCAGAACAGAGGTGAGACTTTGAGGACTGTCATTGAAAATCATTCCCTAACGTTGTGATGTGGATAGCTGAACGACCTGGAACATCAGCTGTTAATTCATACTCAGCTATTGATCCTGATGATCATCAGCCATATCCCTCAATGGACCGTAACTATTTTTCCTAAATGCTAAATCTCAAGGAGACAAAAAAGTTGTTGTTGTTTCTTTAAACTTGAAAAAGAATGCACAGCAAATTAGCAAGCTGATGCTCAGTACCAACAGAATCTCTTTTTTACTAAATATCTCTGCATGGGTCCCCATCCCCGTAAATGCAAAACTGTATTTCTCCCCTGCATTCTCTTTCTTCCTGTGGTAAGAAACCCTGTATCAGAGGTGCAGACGCTGTTCTCCCTGTGCACCAGAACGTGTTGCACTGTGCTTGAATTATGTATGTCTTAATGGCCTTTAGAAACAGAAGTACTGAAATTCAGTGGATTCCCTTGCCTCACACTGTACCAGCAGAAGCAGCATGGATCATCTTCAAGACATCTTTTCCAGTGCTGGCCTTTCTACTTTTATGCTGCATTAATGGGACTATGGAAACATCTTCCAGGCAAATCACAAAAGAATTACCAATGGTGGTGAAATGTGCAAAAAAAGAATTTTAACATCTTAAAACATCTGCAGTATTATTAACACAAACGCTAAATTCTCGTGCATCCTTCACCTGGTATGGCTTGTGAATACCGTTTGCCTGATAATGGTAATTCTGTTCTTGTGACTGCCAACACAAATTGCACCATCCCATAGAAAGCGGTTGCTTAATGGCACGGTTTTCATTTCTACCAATGTAATTCTTCACTATTACAATCAAATATTTTCCTTTAAACGGTAATTGGGGTTTTTTTAGGCCTAATAAAGCAATCCTGTGTTGTAACAGGTGTTTCCACATTTGGTTTTCCATAGTGCAGTGTATCATTGCATACAATTCCCAATTCATTAATTGTAATGGGAAAAAACCCAAAAAAGTTATGTGTAAGTAAAATGTAACATCGCTTATCTCTTTGCAGCTGGATCCTGAAGCGAGTGGTGTTCTTAAAGAGCTTCAGGTGAAACTTAGCAATGTGTTGGATGAACTCAGCGTAACATATGCTACGAGGTAAGCAACTTATTTTACTGTAAATTACTCCCGTTCAAAAATCTACCTCGTCGATTAATTCTGGGTCATTGGCTGGGTGTCCTGGGGTACAGCTTGCTTCTGCCTTGATGAAGTGGGAGGAGGTGTGTGTATTTAGACACTGAAATATATAGCAGTAATCTCACTAATGAAAACAGAAAGCGGTCTGTAGGCATGAACGTGTCACACAGGTGAGGCTGATAACTTTTGTTCAGCTTTTTGGGAAACAAAAAAATCACTGTCTTGTTCTTGCCTAATGCTGTGTTAAAATTTTCCTTCTAACCATGTATTTCCAAGCAGCCTGCTTCAATCAAGGATATCTGCCTATGTTTAGCCTCCTTCAAATGGTCGTAGGAATGGCCTTCTTGAGTCATTTGCTTGTCTGTGGCTCTGCAAAATAATTGTTTACTCTGACCCTTACTCTCAAAATCTTTCATTAATCAGACTGCACACTGCAGTCTGGAATGGCTGTGGTCCTGTGCCAGCAGTGCTTGTGCTGTAAGAAGCTGTAAGTTACTTCTGCTTCAAATTAGAAAGGAGTCTAAGAAAGAGGGATTAGTGCTGCAGTGGTGTTCATTAAGCCAAGTCTGTAGTTGCTTATTTAATCCACCAATGAATCGTCTGGGCAGACAGTGTTCACTTTTTCTAAGTGTGCTTAGTCTGTCATATTGCCTTGCTTTATTTTTGCTCCCAGGCCCTGCTTCTCTGATGATCGGCAGTGCATGAGTATTATTTCTTTCCAGGGCTTCTTTCTAGGTTTCAGCAAAAGAAAACACAAGAACAGGTCAATCTAGGATATGCTCCAGATAGCTAGAACATTCTCCATGGGTCGGTTTATTGCTGGGGTTTGTGAGGTTAACACTGTTAGAAAGATGACTGATGTTAAGAAAAGCCAATGCATCATTTTGGCTTTTATTGGAGGGACTGGTCCCAGGGATCTCCATGAGCAGTTTCAATAGCAGCTTCACATTGATTTTCATCTAGGGTTTTGATGTGTGCGTGTAAGTACACATCCAAGTGTACTTGGAAAAGTTTCCACATTTTCCAGTGTTTGCACATGGAGATTTGTATTCTCTCTTTCCGATTAGCCAGGCTTACTGCCTAATAGTCGTGTTTTTCTCTCATAGCAAATTCTCTTTCACTTTCAAATTAATCTTTGCCATTAGTCTTCTTACGTTAATAGGTCTCTGTTTTGCATTTCTGTTCATAAACTAATCCTAAACCAATTCAATTAATCATAAGTCAGTTCGTAAATCAAATTACCATGTGTGCAGAGCCTCACATCAAGAGTATGAGTCTGATACGTGGCTGGGGAAGGGGGAGACCTCCTGTTGAGGTTCAGAAAGGACCCTCTTGCTTTCTAAACTCCTTCTCAGAGAGGAGCCTTGGTGTGGCTGGACCCCCTCTTAGTCTCAGACTTGGTCAACAGTTTATGTCTATTAGGGATTATGTGAGTATTGACTTATCAGAGTCAATATTAGACTGACAGAGCCCTTGCAGGGGCTTTCACTGAAACAGTTTCACAAAACTGAAAAAGACAGATGATTTAAGGCAACAAACACAATAGATTCAGAATTGCTGGTGATAAGTACACTGTCTTACACAAACATAAATGCCATCCCGAAATTTAAACTTACATCTCTATAACATTAACTATCATTAATCATGCATATGCTACAATAAATAAGCACTACGATAAGGAAACATAGATTGATACTTAGTTAATTATCATGTTTCTCACCAAGAAGGCAACCCTGCTTGCATATGGGGGTGGAGGGGAGGAGGAGGAGAGGAGATCTAGGCCTGCCAACCCACCCAATAGTTGGTATTCTTACCCTTCTCCTACACAGGCATTCTAAATGCCAGATTTGTACTCTTGGTGAGGTGGGACTTAAGTCAATTTGGCCCTTAACGAGGCTCATTATGTGTTCAATCAAGGTGGGTGGGGTGGAGGAAGAACAAAGAAGGCAATTAAAAGTGATCTGCTTAGCTTCACCAAAATAATATCAGGCTGTGAGGCCTCCCCCTCACCCCAGGTATTACTCAGTTGATTCAGTGCTTATTGGCACAAGATAAACACAGCGCTCAGCCTCTTGGAACCCCTGCAAGGTCGTGAAAAGAAAATAATAACAGAGGTTTCCACAAGGGGAGGGGGGAGAATCAAAACAGTACAGGAATTAGTTGTGTGAGCTATAATCCTCAGGAAGAGTTCTGTTCAGTCTGTAACACCTGCAGCATCTTGCATTTGTGAACTTACTGTCTTTGCAGGAAATATTTAAATCTTGTCAAAAGCCTGATGCAAAAATAATAAATGTTTCTATCCCAGAATTCTCTCCTTCTCTTTTTTTTTCTTTCCATCCCGTAGTTTCCAAGTTATTATTGAAGACTGTGTAAGACAAATGAGCAATGAGCTGAATCAAATGAGAGGGAATGGGAATGCAGCAGCCAATAAGAACAGTGCGGCCATTGATGCTGAGATTGTGCTTCGGCCTCTCATGGATTTCCTGGACAAAACGTAAGTGTGGCAGACTGGTTTGTGTCTGCTTAACCTGTTTACCTATACTAAGCAGTTTCTACATAAGCTACGTATTTGCTTTTCTACTTCTTGTCACATTTTGAGTCATTACAAAGGTGCTAGTGTGCAGTCTCTCCTCCACAAGCTGTGGTGTGACAAAAGATTTTACTGAACAAACGAGCAAAAGTAAATTTCCTATACTGAAATGGTCTGGCATTTGTCCTAGGCTGGCACCCGGTGTTTTCCTGCTTATTAACATGCACTTCTACGTCCCCAAAAACCTGGTCACCATATAAGACATTAATAGAGCAGCTTGATTGTCTTCAGTCGGTAAAAAGCTAGATTTTGAGATAGCCCTGCAAACTCACACTGGGCCCTGAAAGTAACGTACCCTGTCATCAGCATCCTGCAGTGACAGGACTGGCTGGGTTGAAAGGCCATGTGCAGCACAGGCACATCTATAAGCACCTCACTGTCCTTGGCCATGTCATTGCTTGTACCTGTGAAACACCACTGGACCTTCACTGGAAGTGACTGTGAGAACAAGCAGCATGACACTGATCTTGCACTTCAGGGCTCCAGTCACACATATATGAGTTACACACAGATATGACAGCACATAGAAATAACTGCTTTCAAATGGTAGCCCTGAATTTGTATTAGCTATGAACACCTAGTTCTACATCACAGAAGTATAAGTCAACAAGGGAGACACTTGATTTTTGAGCCATAAGCAAACTCTATACCAAAGCTTTAATTGAGGGGCTTGTGAGTGTCAAACTGTATCATCCAGGAAACTTTATAACTCATCATCATTTTGCATGTTTTATAATTATATATCAGTAATATAGTAAGTAATAAATTTGATAGTGGAGATTTACATGATTTATAATCTGCAAGTCTTTTTTATTTCACCAAAAATATTTACTGATAATATTGCAAAATAATTAAGCCATTGAGAAATCCTTACTGGTAGAGAAAAGCTAAACCATAATGACCTTTAATCTGAGCATATAGTGATACAGCACCTCTGAAGTCTTAATGCTGGTTTGAAGACGGGTTTATGTTTTGTTTTATTCCAGTTTAAGTGTCTCTGCAAAAATCTGTGAGAAGACAGTTCTGAAACGGGTTTTAAAAGAGCTATGGAAGTTAGTCTTGAACAAGATAGAAAAACAAATTGTGCTTCCACCACTGACAGACCAAACCGTAAGTGTCCCAGCAGCAGTTCACACACATTATAAAGGACTATAATAGTGTGCTTAATCAGATGTTTGCCAAGGGCTCTGATACTATCCTTTTCTGTACCTTGACCAGAAGGAATGATATACTGACTGCGTGCCGTGTGTTGCTCTCTAGTGTTTCAAAGCAGTGCAGCTAGGTTGTTTTTCTGGAGCTGGTGAGGAAGACCTTGGTCTTTCCTATACTGCCTGCTCCAGCTCAGAGCATTTTTACAAAAGCAGTATAAAAGAAGCCAAATCACTGACTTTTAGAGTGCTTTCATTTAAGGGCTTTTCAGTTTGATTTCTCTTGACTTCATCATGCATGGTCTGGAAGTGTTCTTTGCTCTTCCCAGCTGCACCAGAAATTCAACCGCTTCCATTTTGGCAGCTCTCAGGAAGTCAGGAATGCTGCAAGAGTTTGAATGTAGGCCTTTATTTAAAGAATAATAAAAATATTTTAGTCTTTCAAACATAGTGAAAATAACCTGTGACTGCCGACTCAACACAGATTTCAGTTCATCTGCCTGAATCTGCAAGCACCTTTGCTGTCCTTACTGAAGCTCAGAAATCACAGCGAGCAATAAGCTGTGACACTGATGTTACAGCCCATTTCAAAAAAGCTCATTCCAACCATTAGTTCAGCAAGTTGATACTTCATTAAACTATGGGTGTACATCTGGAAAACAACTGCTGCATTTTGTGCAGAACACAGAGAGGGTGGTGAAGGAGCAGAGACAGGGAGCCCTCCTCCCCCTTCCCCAGACTGAAGAGTCTTAGGGATGAACGTTATGTTAGTTAGTGGCCACAGGTAAGGAGGCTTCTGTTTATCAGCCAGATACTGATTACAGGCAGCCTTTTTAAGATCATTTTAAATGGTTTAAGTGCTTTGCCCTCATTTTTCATGAAACTGAAATGAGCCTTGCTTCTTCACACACACTTCAGAAACATGAGCCTCTGACTAGAAAAGACTCTGCAGCATATTTTTTTCCCAATGTTGCTCAACAGTTGTATGGTAGAATCACAGAATCATTATGGTCAGGAAAAACCTTTAAGATCAAATGTCTTAAATATAGTCTGTAATGACAAAGGAACAGGAAAAACAGGTACATAGATTACTGGATTAGGCTTTCAGTGTGCTTGCAGTATCACACGTGTATACCACACTTCACCAGCTGTTGAGTTTTACCAGTGGTAGCATCTCTATAAAGTGTCCCAGCTGGCAGTCATGGTGACAAGTAGATAGCTAGGTGCATTTATTTTGCTACTTCTGTTTACTATTGAACAGACAAAGTCAACAAAAAGTAGGACATTGTAAGAGAGATATTTCCTTTCTGTAGCCCTGAATATTTCTTTCTGAAGTTAAGAGGCACAGAGATTCAGAAGCAGTGTTTATTTGTTAGTTTTTCATATTTTCATTTTTATCATACCATTCTCACTAATATGACATCTTTTGCAATTGAGCCATACAGAAGCAAAATTATTACTGGAAATAGAAACTTTCTGGAACACAAGAACAAATGAGAAATTGTTCTGTGTTGTGCTATGTAAATCGGACTGACTACTTCTTGTTTTTCTGAAATCCAGGCATTCAGGACTATGGCTGAACTGCCAAATAACTGCACTATTAATTATATTTCTTGGAGTAATTGTGACATAAAATGCGAGCATGGCAGTATAGTAGGATTCTGTTTGGCTAAGACAAACACGTTTGGACGCCTGGACGCCTTCCTGTGTAACCTCATCCGGGTGTTCCTGCTCCGGCAGGGGGATTGGACTGGATGAGCTTTTGAGGTCCCTTCCAATCCCTAACGGTCTGGGATTCTGGGATTCTGTGATGTAGGCAATGGCCTTTGGTATGATGCCAGGATTTGGCTATTGTGAAATACTGGTTTAACTTTATAACACTTTGCTATCTTTTCTTAAAAAATACAGCTTTGGTTTACCTGCTATGCTTTGTGTTACTCAACTGAGGGTTTCACTGTACACAGTTCAGCTTTTGCAGGGTCCTCAGGACCGCTCACTTCCCATTACAATTATTTATATTAGCATAGCACCTACGAGCTATGATTATGGACAGATATCTCACTGACACAATGTATAAGAATAATCCCAGCGTCAGCTTAAAAACACTAAATACAAAAGGAGACAGCAGACAGGAGCACATGAAACCACTATCAACAGAATACGCAGTATTTGCACTGAGCACAGGATACTGGAGGGAATCATGCTGCAGGCATTCAACTACTTGGCCTTATCAACTGAATGAAAATATGTCTCGTGTGTAATTGAAATTTTCATTTAGCTTTGCAAAACAGTAACTTTGGCTAATGTCCTAGCAGAAAATAAGATCATGTTGACATAAAAAGCAAACACGCCGCAGTGAGTCTGTTTCCTGAATTTTCAATGTGATTACAGGGGCCCCAGATGATATTCAGTGCAGCCAAAGATCTTGGACAACTGTCAAAACTCAAGGTAATGGCGCCAAATGAAGCTGTGAATGGCTTGCTCTAATGGAAAAAAAATAGATTAAATATTATGACTGAGAGGCCAAGCCTCATGCCTCATTCTTGTGGTTATTTACTATAATAAGATTGAATATGGCAGTAACTATTCATAGGTGATTAATGATTTTACAGCCTCCACAAAACCAAATTAAAACTAAAAGACTGTATGCTTATATGGTAACGTGATCACTAGATTGGTCAAGAAGCTATCGGTCTCGCATTGCACAACTTGTGATTAAACATCACAAAAGAATAAATCAGGAGGTCGTTTTGTTCCCTTCTGAAACCAGTTCTGAAAAAAACTCCAAGGTGGGAATATGAGTAATTTTTCTCTGTGTATTGTTTATGGTGTGTATTGAAACATAGCGTGTACCTGTGCAATAAACTCATCAGCACCACATTACAGGCATCCATAACGCACTTGATGGAGAGCTGAGACAGTTGATGATGATGTCAGTTGTTTGCCAATCAATTTTCCCGTTAGGATTTCGGATTTGGGCAGAAATGGGGTAATTTGTGCTTCTAAGAATAATTGCGCAGTTTGCTAGAAGGGCTAAAATGTCACCCAAGTAAATCACAGGGTCCTTATTGGAGACAAAATTTTCACCAGAGTATTGTCACTTTATGACTATTTAACTTACGTTCTACTGGGCAACCATTTTTTTCAAAACATGGGGCATTACCAAACATTAGTTAAAATGTCAGACCTATTAATAAAAGAATTATTTCAGTATCATTTAACATAATTATTTAAACTCAAAATTTAACCTTTTCCTTGTCTCCCATAACAGAGAAATAATGTGACCTAGGAAAAGAAATAAAGCTACCCAGATGCTCAGTATTAAACATCGGTTCTTGTTCCCTACAGTCTATGTTTTCAAGAAAGAAAATGCTTGCTCTAGGTTATGATTTGCTGTAAAAGGGGTCTGAAGTTGAATTAATCCCTGTTAATCCTAGAGGCTCGGGGGACATTTGGTGGTTGTGTTTGTTTTTCCAAGAACAGCCAGCCCACGATACTGTCTGCCTCAAAACCAACTGCGGTCTTCACTTGCTTTGCAGGACCACGTCATTCGAGAGGAAGCCAGAAGCCTGACCCTGCGGCAGTGTGCAATCATGGAGGTAGCATTAGCTACTATAAAGGTACAGCTTTATGTGTTTGTTGCTCTGTTCTGTGCTGGAATGACATAACAGACTCTAATCGAGAATGGTCGCTTAGAATCATAAAGATCCCTTTAATATGTCAAGAACCCTTTGATCCTAAGATCCTCGAATTGACTTGAAAGCAAATGCCCAATAGTCTGCTTGCAGAAAAGTTAGAGAAATTATCCTACCAGTTGCAGACAGAAGAGTTCCCTTAAAGGAACTGGTGGCCAAAGCTTGTCTGGTCCTTGTGTTCCCTTACAGTCTCAGTGCAGGTGAAGCAGCTGGGCTAAGTCCTTACTCTGTTGTAGCGCAGCCTCTTTTTCTCCCACAGAGGACACGCTGAGCCTGACAAGGGTGGTTATGCCTACCTGCACTCTCCTGCAAAATACAAAAAATGTATTTACAGCACACCAGAAAACCAAGCTTTTAATGCCACGCATTACTGGGCACTATTGCAAACCCCATGTCCAGTTGAATTTATCAACTTTTTACAGTTTAGAAGTCACCACCTAATTTAATGTCACTCCTAAATAATTTGATTTAATCTAAAGAAGTCATTTAATTATTCTACATGCTGGTCCCTTTTCAGTGAAAACACAAAACTCTTATTCATCGCACACCTGTTAAAACACTTCTGATAAATTAAATTTTATGCATTACCAACACTGTGTTGATGCAGAATTTGGTAATGCATAAAACTACTTTAGACAAATCTTAGCTTTCACAGCAAAGATTTTGAGCAAATCTAAAAAAAGCCGTACTGCTTTTTCAGCAGTAAAATGTTTTGCATTGGATTTTTAAAGGAGCCATATTAGAGGCAATCCATCCAACCTTACCTGGTGCTAACCTCCTTGTTAGAAATACAAATTAATTTGTTGGTAACTGATAAAGTAACTCTAGGATTTGACCTCTCTGGAAGGATGAAAGGATCAGGCCATAGAGCAGACAAAAATATTCTGAAAACATTGTTTTCACCCCCACTCTATTTATGGTTATTGCAAGATGCTCGTAAATGTAAAAATACAGAGATTAACAAAGACCTTTTCTATTTTTAATAAAAAACGGGAGACTTTCATAGTCTTCACAAATTCTGTTTCTGAAGTCAAAAGAAACCATTAAGGAATATTATTTCATGCACTCACTTTTTAACATTGGCCTGAATCTTCGTTTGGTGTAAATAACTTGAAAGCAATCAATTTATAGCATAATTTTGTGTCTGCTGCTAAAGAGACAGCACATCAGGAAGGTAAGGACAGCTACTTCAGTATAAAATGGAACAGGTAAATAAAAGGGCATATTCATGATCAAGTCTTGTGCCACAAAGTAGTGTCTCAAAAGACAAGAAAGAAATATCACAGAGGGCTCTCGATTCGCATCTTTGGTATTTGAGCAAAATTGGCGTTTCTTTCAGAAGCAAGAACAGTGTTTGGGAATTACTGATATTGTGGAAACATAAATGGAACAAGGTACTCTGTGCTCCCAAATTGAGTCCTGTGGAGTCCTCAGTTCCATCTGTGAATCCAATTCTTTTCCTTTCAAAGCATTTGTACTAAAAAGTTGGGAAGAATGCAAATTCTAACCTTGCCTGAATTTCAAGTGCTTAAACTCTTAAGAGTTTAGGTAGATATTAATAATTTTAATAAGCTGAAGTCTAGAACTGGAGGAAAGAGGTTAGAAATAGGGAAAATCCTCTACGTACTTGGTACTCAATGTGGCAAAATCTTGTTTTTCCAAAATACTGAGCGAATACCCTTGATCGTGCAGAAACTGGTCTTACAGTATCAGAAAGTGAACAAAGACAAACCTTGTGAGTTAACTGAAGAAAAAAGACTGCTGTGTTGATTTAGAAATGCAGTTCATAAGTTTATGGATATGGGAGGAGACGTGTGTGTGCTTTTTTATTTTTCCTTTCGTTTGTCTAATTTTTAGTACCAAAAATTACTTCACTGAGCAACTTACAATGTAATAAATGATGGTGTTATTAATGCTCTGAAGAGCATAAAATAGAGGAATAATCTTTCTTCTTAACTATATATATATATATATATATATAGTATATCATCAGTCTTTGTATGATGTAAAAAAAGAACCTTAGCAATTTTTATATATATATATATACACATGTATATATATACTTAGCTTAATGTGCAATTTACTGTTAGGAGAAGCTACTTTCTGGACTCAGTTATCGTCACAAACTGAGTCATTCTCAGCTATCTCGTTACCTCAGCTGAGAGATAATGTTCACCGATAATATTTTTCTAGTTTCCGTCAAGCACTGTAAATCCAGAGGCGCTCCACCAAGTGAAACTATCACCCAATATGCCTTGTGTGGCATTTGTCACGTTCTGGCTGAGAGTGCAGTGGCTACAGCATCGTTTTGCACATCCTTGACATTATGCACTTGTGTCTGCACTTTCATTCAGTTTGGCTTCCAGGCCTCTTTTGTCACCTATGAATCTTGAACCCCCCTCAGACTGGAGCACGAGTAGCAGGTGAAACATGTTAAGGTTTACATCTCTAAAGAGCAGGCTATTAGGTGTTTAGCTGAATCTGTGTAACCCTGTTTACTCATTATATTTTCTATATTTGATTCCACACAAAAATGTTATGTTCATATTAGTGGGTTTGCACGCAAAATCAACCCCTTCTGGGCAAAACAGGGAAAATGTAAAACTTGGGAAGATTAGGGTGAGGCATCCTTGTTCCTTTAAATGTCTTTCAGCTTTCATGGAGCTTTTAGTCCTTTGTAGCTGCTGCTGCAACTAACATTTTATTGGAGATAGATACATCAATCTTGAGACTTACAACTGCAATGTAGCTTGCACAACGCTTTGCAAGGCGTTTGACCAAAATTTGTGTAGCTAATGTCTCTTTTCTTCGTAGCTTAAGTGCATTAGTTCATCAACTACTGTCTTGTAAAAGATTTTAGGGAAAATTCTTCATTTCAGGAAGAAGGGAAGAATCTGTCCTAATTTTTCTGAACTCAGCTTTGAGATTGGAAACCTGCATAATACAATGCTTGGAATAGTTTACATAGTCAGGATGGCATCAAAGCGGTAAACAGATATTTTGTTCCAAATCTAACTGTGCCAGTAGACCAGGAGTCATCTTTTGTTCAAATTATTTATGCTAATCTAGCGCTTTTTGTTTAAATGAAAGAAGGAAGGGAGCACTCAAATTATCAGTGTGAGACAGCAGAAGGAGGGGTGCAGGGCTGGATGAAGAGCTGGCAGTAATCTCTACACTAGTGCAAGTGCTTGCAGAGTGAAGATCTGGCCCCATCTGAGGTTGCAGGAGGCACTGCTGCCATAGTGGTTCACTGCTGTGTCATGCATAGAGCTGCATAAGGAGAACTGTGGGTACAGCTGTCCTGCACCAAAGGAAATCCTCTTTTGAAGGAGGAAATTTACTCCTCACCTTCAAGGGCAGTACCAACCAACGAGCTCCTTTTCTCTTCCATCCTCTTCCTTTCACAGTCCAGGAAACCCTAATGTGGTCACTCAGGGATGACATGCCCATTTTCTGTGTATTCACAGTAAAACAGGTCAAAAATGGAATCAAAACAGACAATCACCATGGAAACTTCCACGGAATTTCTCGTAATTTCCCAAAGCATAATCACAGTTTCAGGCACAATTACAATGCAATGCTAATCCAAAACTTCATATTCTAGGAGCTCCAGTTTTGACATATAAATTACTTGAGATCATGAAAACCAAAATTAAAATTTTAATTAAAATTAAAAAAAAATTAAAATTGTTTTGGGTTTTTTTTCTTCCACAAGGCTTAAATTTTCACCTTTAGAAAGAAGCTCAGTGGTAAAAATGATGACAGTTACCTCTCATAAATCTAGCTACGTATGCCAGGTGTTGTTTTTTTAAAGTTTGTGTAAGAATTTTACTTAAAATTGTATGTCTGTAACTGGGGCCTTTCTCAGACAATTTGCCTCTCTGAATGACCACACTTGTTTTCCATTTTAGCAATACTTCCATGCTGGAGGAAGTGGGCTGAAAAAGAATTTCCTGGAAAAGAGCCCAGACCTCCAGTCCCTAAGATACGCCCTCAGCCTCTACACACAAACGACAGACGCCTTGATAAAGAAGTTTATAGACACTCAGACATCTCAAAGTAAGTGATCTGTAAGAGAGCTGTAAGTGTGTCAAATTATATTTTAAATGTTTTAAATGATCGGTTGCCAATCACATTCTCCGAACACTGTGGTATTTTAGCGTTTACTATCACAAATTTGCCCGTGTGATGTTATCCCGTATCAGCTGCTGTTGTCAACCAGGGGAGCTTCTCAGTGCATTTATCAGCTTGTCACTTCACATGAAGAGCAGGTCCCATAGCTCTAGCTGAACATCAGGGTTTTCTATGGGAGCAAACCACATACAAACAGGGTTGCAGAGGCCAGACTAGAGTGCACATTATACTTGCAGAAACAGAGTAAAATCATCGAGCACCCTGGCAGCCCTAGGTACTTTCAGAGCTGGAGGATATTAATTATTAATCACAAAACAATGCAAAAAACATCACATATCCTTAAAGTTTCATTTTGGGATTAAGAACAATAAATTGTGAGCATTAACATAGCACGTTGTTTCCACATTGCAGAACTCACACTACTTCTATCAGGTCATCTGTGGATTCAAAAGGAAGAGATTTCTGTAGACTAAAATATGGCATTATTTTTCCTGGCTAGATTTTTTGTCATTTGTGCATTTCAGAATTCAGATTCAAAACCACCTTGCTGAAAATGTCACTTCATTCTTAATGCCCACTTCTCAAAATCCAAAGTTTTGATACTTTCCCAAAAACAACCCAAGGCAGAGAACGTGCCAGAATATGATATTAGGTGTACTTTGAATCTGGACATCAGCAACACTGAAGCCACTTTCTCCTGCTCTAGAATTTGGTGCGGTGCACCAAAAGGATTCAAACACAAAGTCCCCTTCACTTAAAATAAATATAACCATTCATTAATGGTGTATTTCAGAAGAGGACTCTCCATGGTTTAAATAAGAGGGCAACAGTTCGTGATTCTACTTTTAGGCAAAGATTCCTTCTGTTTCCAAAAAGAAGCTATTTCTTATCATTTTTCTTATCAACCTAGGACAGTGTTTTCATACTTCTGCATTACATCCAGGACCTGCTTTTGTACAGATAATGTGCATTATATTCCGAGCTGAACAGTTTCTTCATTCTAGAAACTGCAAAAAATTTGCTTATTATTATTAATAACAATAATAAGCTTTACTAGCTTTCTTCTGAATGCAATGGACTTGTGTAAAAATGGCCTGTCCACCACTTAATGTCTTCGGGAAGAAATACAATGTGCTGATCTCTAAAGAACTACCCTGCTGTCACCCATGAGGATCAGAAAAGTTTTAATGTGACAATTAAGCTGGAAATCAGTTGCTTTTACCTCTGAAGTGCAGTATACGTTATTCACAGTACAAAAAGCATAAATCACTAGTTTTGCAGCTTGTCCCAAGATTAATTCCCAGGAATTATTTGCTAGGTAGCTTCCATGTTAGGCAGTATCTCTGTAAATAATTCATACATTAAAAGTGAGAAAACGGCTATACAGCTCTAATACACGAGGAGCAGATTATTTTTTCATCCTCTCCAAAAAAGAAATAACAATCAGGATTTAGGCAGAGAAGTATAGCTTCCTAGTACAGTTTGCTTTTGCTTAAGCATACTTTCATTGTGAGGTCTGAAGAGAAATTTATCCAGGTTCTGGCCATAAGCAGAGAACTTTTATAAACCTTAAACCACAACCTTGAGTTTTCTGATTTTCATCACGATTTCAGCCTGAGGTCTGTATTCATTCCTGTGCACACATTAGCATGCCTGTATTTGCACACCAGTATTATCAGAAGTGTAGCCACTGGGAATGGAAGTTAAGAAAAAGTGAATCATAGCTTTTCATCGTCCTTTAATGTCTGATTTAAAAGAACTAAAACCCTCACCTATTACGACCTCCAGCCTCACAACTGTAGCTGTATCATCAGCTTTTAGTTAAAATGACCCTGTTTGCAAATCAGAAACTTTCTCTCAAGTATAATTAGATTCATATCTGCCCTCATATTCGTGCACGTAACCAATTCATAGTCAACAGCAGCTGGATGGAATTGAACTCAAAACAATGGAAAAAAGAATACTTTAAATCTAAAGAAAATAGAATAAACTGTCAATGTTATTGATATTTCTGTGTTTCTAATTCTGAAAAGACCTTGATCTAGAATTTATGAGTCACCCATACACAACACAGTAAGAAATGCTTAACAGTTTTCTAGGCTTGACTTCAAGGGCTTTTGCTGAAGGAACCTGTGTCTACACACAGCTGACAAGATATTTTGGACTGAAGTACCCATTTGACTGACAACTTTCACTTGTGAGTCACCTGCCAACACATTATAGAAAAATCTCAGATAGTCTTAATTTCTAAGTCTTCTCAAGTCTTTTCAAAAGGCTGTATGTCTTAAAGAAATGGTTTCACCAGTTGTTTCTAATCCAATTTACATGTCCTTTGCAAATCCAGAACCTCAGCTAGATGAAAGCAAAGTGTTAGCTTTTTTTAATCCAAATTTTCCTAATTCCTCACAATTTTCAAGTAGACGTTCCTTGGCAACATTGTGAAAGTCAGATCATGTTCTTCATTGTCTCTAGGATGCTTTGTTTTCCTGTAGTGACTCCTAGAATCGGACAATAATCAGGCTTACTTTTAAGTACAGGTGAAGATACTTTTTGATTTGATGTGGTTAAACTGTCTGATTGGTCTGAGGAGGGGGAGTTACTTTCTCCCCCCCTGGAAAGCATAGTAGCTGTGTAAAAGTGTATGTTATCATCCCTGATACCTCCTGTATTTATGTACATGCAGGGTCAGGTTCAGTAAGAATAACCACATTATGCTGGCGTATGCTTCTGCGCCATTTCTAAGCAAGGAAGATTGCTTGAACCAAAGGTTCAAGTGCCTACAGATTCCTAAAGAGCTTTCTGAAAACAAAGCAACTTGCATAGGCAATATTAATAAAATCAGTCTTAACTTTTAAAATGATGACTTCATCTCAGGGATCCATAGGTTTGGTTTTCATGTGGTGGTTTCAATACACCGAATACTTGAAAACTAAACTCTTATTGACATTTTCAAATACATCAGGCGACAATATTGTTATGGACATATGCCTTAAAAGCAAATGACCACACAGTCAAGACTAATGAAGTTAACTGCCATAATCTTTGATGATTTTCCTTGTCAGGAAAATCCGCTACAGGCTCTAAAGACTGTTTGTGAAGTAGACAAAAGTATTTCAGTAAGTAAGTGACAACGCAGAGCATAAACTGGAAGTAACTTTTTGAATAACTGATGACATTGCCTTTTTTTGCCTTTTCCTTTCTTCCTCCATATAACAATTTGCCATTTAAAAGGAATGTGGTGACGAAAGTTGTAAATTCAAACCTCATTCAGCATTGTGAAAACAAATCTGTAACCATACCATGAAACTTAAAGATAAAAGAAAGCTATTTTCTGTATCAACTTGATGGATTAGACAATACAGATCTCAGATGAGCATACTGCCGTGTGCTCCCATATTGAACAGCTCTCCATCTGCCTGCCTGGCACAGGAGGGGAGAGAGGTTTCTCTTCTCCAATTGCGTCCCTACTCCTATCCCAGATCTGCTTTGCACTTTCGGCTTGTTTGGAAGTTAAATACTGCTGAGACTCTGATCACTGCAGATTTTAACATTGGTATCAATATGATAGGAAAGGGGAAGATTATCTATACTTGTCCCTTGGTATTTAAAAAAAAACCAACAAAAACTGGTATTGTTTGGTGGGAAAGCTTTTAAAAATTTTCATGCAATGAATTATAAGTTGCCAATGAAATTTAATTCCACTTATCTGAAGTTCACATTTACTATTAACCAGAAAGTGTCCAGGTGATTCTGCAGTTCCAGTTGTAAATGCATTCTTCTGGCTCAGTGTTTTCTTCTTATTCAACCATATACTGGTGTTGTCGCTGCCAAGAACCACTTCATGGAGCAGATTGCTTTTAAAGTCTTTAAAATGGACACTGATAGAGACCTAAAGGATTCTGAAAAACCCAAAAGCAATTTAGTGAAGAGAACTGCATTTCAAACCCTGAGTGACCCGTCCCTTACACACTACACGGTCATTGATACCTCTGCAAAGAGCATATGAAACACAGCCAAGTGAGAATCTCATAGCACCAGTACACCATCACCAACCAGATGCCCTGGTTCAGATCTTTGATTGATTCTGTTTCCTTTGGACTTCTGACAACTGTAAGTTGCCAATTTTAGATTGCACACTACTAGTAATATACATTAACTTGTACTGTAGAAGTGGTTGGGTTTTTTCCTCCTCTAAATTCAGCTGCAGGATAACATTTTTGCATACATTTAGATTATAATATGGAACATTTTCAACATCTTTTGTGCCCAAACAGTTATTCGTGCACACTACACTTGTGCCAACCATGAATTAGTTGTAAAACAGCAGTGCACTGCTAAGCCTGACCTAGAAAACCCTGCTCATTTGCAGGGACTTGGGGGTTCAGAGCTGTATAGCTCAAACACACCATGGCTGGCAGCCAGCAAGCCAGCACAAAGTACCATCACCGAAAGCTCAGAGGTTTCTGCAGAGGACCCTGTATTTGTACGCTGATGTACTTATACAAGTTGTCAGCCTACATCAAATGTAGACAAAGAGGTCAAATCTCAGTTCGGGCAGGACAAGCTCATTTTAAGGAAACTAGAGGTAAATTCAACCACATGGCCACAATCAAGACAAAATTATAAAAGTCAAAGAGCAAATTTACTGTATCTCAGAAGAGAAGGAACAGACCCGGAACACTGAAGTAAAACAACACCCATGTCTACTGGCCCATTGTCCAGACCTGCCTACTCTGTGATATATTTGACACACCGGTACTCACAGCTCAGCTCAGTCCCAGTATTGCTCCTCAAAATCTGTAACAAAGACAATTTTCAGCCTGGCAGCCACCTTTTTATTGAATTAAGTTGTACCTTCACCTTTTAGACAACTTAATTTAAAGGCTATCAAAACTAAAAGGAGATTTATGGCTGTGGCTTAGTTT